GCTGGGCTATTTTGTGGGACTCAACCTTCTAAAGTGCTCTAGAATATTCTTTTTTTTTTTAAAAGATGACCAGTAAGGGGATCTTAACCCTTGACTTGATTAACCATGCTCCCTGAAGTGAGCAAACTGGCCATCCCTATATGGGATCTGAACCCATGGCCTTGGTGTTATCAGCACCACACTCTCCCGAGTGAGCCACGGGCTGGCCCAAGAATATTCTTAAAATAGAGACAACGGATGGTACTATGGACATTTTATTTTCTCATCTGGCAAGTATCTGACTCCTTCCTGTATTTGGGTGGCACCTTTGGTGGTATCCAAGGTGTCCAGCAACAATGCAGAAGCTGAACAAGCTGGACACTTGCTTTCCCAGCTTTTGCGACAGTTGGAGCTGGTGTCACGCTACCCCAGCAGATGCCCCAGGCAGAAGCACTCTGGCAGGAGTGGGTCCAGAGGCTTCCCTCTGCCAGAGCAAGTTCCAAAGGGCTTGAGCTGCAGGACTGGTTGGCGGCAGCAGCGGCAGCAGGAATTTCCTCTGAAACAAGGTTTTGGGCCCTGCTGCTGGCTGGCCAGCACTAAGCCCTGTCTTCCTAACAATTCTGTGGGCTTTTACATCCCTTTTCATCAATCCCTGTTACTTTTAGCATTTAATATCAGCTTCTGTTGCTTGCAACCGAGAGTCCTGGGTGTGCAGATTCCCACCCCAAACACCAAGCACAGCAAGATGCTGTGGCACACTGGGATGATGAGGGCCATCCTGCATTGCGAGCTTTCTTTGTTACCAGTCTGTGTATAAGAGGCTGTGATTTGCACCCATGGTATAAACAAACGGTGGAACTGAATTTTAGAAAAAAGGCTTTAAGACAGACACATACTTATTTTGCCTTAATTTTGGTTCTTTGGTGGTAAAATGGCTTAGCGATGATTACTAACAGAAGCTTTGGACAAAACCCGTGGACTCCGTGTTCAAGCCCAGCGTCTGGCGTGTGGCAGGACTCCAGCACAGAACTACTGGGAAGGGAGGGAAAGAGGGGCAGGACAGACGCGCAGTGAAATCGTCTCTTCCTGTGAAGGTGGAATCACGTGGATTCCTTGCTGGGTAGGGAGGCCGTCCTCACACTTGTTCTCACCATGCACATCCTTAAAGCTTTCTCCCCACCCGCTGGGCGGCATGCAGTCAGGCTCAGGTTTGTTTTTCCTGCATTTCAGGTGGATTCGCTCTGCCAGGCGGCCCCTGGGGTGCCGTCTCCTCCACCTCGACAGAACACTAGGCTTCCTCCTGTCCTGACTGGTTCCCATTTCTGTGCCAGCACCTGATCCTGCCAGTCAGAAATGGGGCAGGCAGAGGGGTCGCACTCACGGAAAGCTGCCATCCTGGGGGGGAAGAGGCCCCAGTGTTGTGCCACGAAGCACAGGGATCGTGCCGAGGGCCAGGGACGCCACCTGCCGCAGCTGCAGCGCCATCCTCAGGGTGTCCAGAGGGGCCTGCCGGCTGTCACTGCACAGAGCTAGCAGGGGGCGTGGGCTGTGCTTTGTGGGCGGGGCTCTTCTGTCTTCAGAAGTGGGGAGAATAATGTCTCTGCAAGCTAAATACTTATATTTTAGTCTGGTTTACAGGAAAAAAAATACACATATATATAATGCATTTAATCTGGTTTTAGCAGATCCTGTTGGCTACCTACCCTACAGTCATTCTCCCCTTCTTTGGTGACAGGACCCCAGTTTTTAGGTATTTGGTGGCAAGATCCAGAGGATAAACCGTAATTGGACTTTTCCAGGGACAGATCTAGAATTTGTGAGACACAAAGCTTCCACAATTGGGGGGCAGGGGAAGCTTTTTCTTTTTCTTTTTTTTTTGTCTTTTGTCTTTTTTCCGTGTCCGGCAATGGATCGCAACCCTCAGTGTCGCCCCCGTACCGGACCGGGACTGGCCACGGGATTGCAACCCTCGGTGTTGCTCCCGCGCCTCGCTCAGCCAGTGAGCGGGAACCGGTCTGTATGTGGGATCCGAACCCTCGGGCGGGAGTGCCGCCGCGCTTCCCAAGCGGCGCACTTATCCAGTGCGCCACCGGGCCGGCCCCAGGGGAAGCTTTTTCTAAAAGAAAGATTTTAAATTTAGTGAATACAAAATTAGGTATTTATAGTGAAAAAATGTACAGCAACTTACAAATTTTAATAAGCTAACAAATGCCACTAATGTAAGTCCACATAAATATTGTAACCTTTGTATTAACGGGTGGTCAACAGTGACGTTTCTTCCTACATTTTTGGCTCTTTTCTCTCTGATCATCTGTTCTTAAGACATGGGTTTCACCTATTTTCTATAGGAAGGAGAGACAGGTAATTCAGTCTTTTCTCCAGCATGCTTTATCGACACGCTATTATGGAGGGCGTAGGAAAGTTTTCTTGGCTTCACAGCCTGCTGTTGGTATTGCAGAGCCCTAGAGCTGTTGTCAAATCTCTCAAAGCTTGCCTGGCTTGTCCCAGACGCAGGCTGCACACACTGCAGTCCCCGGCTTCCCTGCGTCTCCATTCCCAGCCCCACGACTCGGGCACGACGGAGCGCACAGAGGAGCAGCTGCACAGCCACCGTGAGAACAGCTCACGGCTTTTACCAAGAAGCGACCACAGGAACACGGTGCTGGGCCCCTCGCAGGGCTTGGCAGGGGCGAGCAGCGAAGCATTCTGGAGCTCAAACTTCCGTGGCATCCTGGCAAGCCTGCCCCAGGTCTGGGCCCATCCGGGCAGCCCCATGTCCTGACAGCGGCTTCTGCCAGCGGACAAGGGCGGGCCCGGGGTGGCTGGGAGGGGCGGGGACGGCCTGCTGCCCTTGGACTTGCCCTGGATGTGATCGGGAGCACACGGCCACGGCAGCCTTCCTGCACTCCTGAGAGAAAAGCCGGAGAATGTCAGGGAGGCCACCCCAAGCCAGGACAGTGCTAAGCGGCTCAATGGATCGGCTTTCTGGGTTCCTGTGTGTGAGGTGATGAAAGGTCTTCCTTGTCTAAGCCGCTCTGCTGGACGTTCTGAGTTGAAGCTGAAGACACCGTGACTGCTGCGTACCACAGAGCGGAAAGGCCCTCACCTCCAGGAAGTCACGATGCACCTCTTGTCTCAGCCTGGCCACCTGCCACGCCACTCAGCGTGTGTCCCCACAAGTGGACGAGGCCTGGAGGCCTTCACGGCTCCTGCATGCCTGCCTCGATGTGCATTTCTACCGCGGCCCACTTTTAGCTGAACCCCTACTTCTTTGAACTTCTTTCGAAAAACTAAAATCCTTTGTAACTACTTTCCCCCAAATTTAAGTGAGCTGGAAGAGCCAGAGTTTCTTAAGCAGTTTTCAGCCTCGCCCAAGTCCTCCGCGGGGCCACGCGGCGCACCCGGGAAGCAGGCTCTACAAGCGCTTTGGCTCTCGGGGACAGTGCTGCTCCCACCCTCCACCACACGCTCCGCCTCGGGGACTCGTCACCTCACTAAGCGGCTGGAATGACAGAGGGACTGGCGCATGGAGACGGGAGCAGCCTCTGCCCCATGCTGCCCTCCTGCGTCCCTCACCGGGGAGCACCCCGTTAGCTCCTTTATCGGGGTGGGAAAGGCAAAGGGCAAAAATAAAATGAGTTGACAAGTCACAGCCTGCGTCCCCCGGATGCAGCCAGCCACCGGCCCGGAGTTCATTAGAATGAAAGGCTAACTTCCCGCCACCTGAGTGTGTCTGTCGCTGCTGACTCAGATGACCACAGCCCGGGAGGACTCGGCGGTGCTGCAGGCTGCGTGGCTTCGCTGTTGGAGCGCAGCCCTATGACACCAGGGATCCCTGCATGGGCCATGGGGAAAACGAAACGACCTCTGTAAGGAACTGGGAGACACTCCCAACAGCACGAGGGAGGGCAGGATGGGAGGAGACCTTCAGAAGTGCAGCTTGAGCAGTCTGAGTTGGATAACCGTCTTGTTTCCATTGCTGGTCGTGAGAGACGGTGAGAAGGATGCGCAGCGTTAGGGGACTCCGACAAATGCGACTGTCCCCAGTGAGTGCACGTCCCTCTGGAAGCCCAGCCGCCACAGGGAGGTCCAGTTCCTGCTGGCCCCTCATTCGGGGTTACTTGCTGTCACCAAATTGAGCCCCTTTTATGTCCACAGAAGCTGATCAGTTTCCACTGCAGAACCACAAGCTCTGGTTCAAAGTCAACGCAGGAGAGGTGTCCTCCACCCCTGGGGAGGCACACAAATCCTTTTCAACTACTGTACATTCTGACAAAGCATTTTCATGTGACAGCAATGACGACAATGGCAGTTGTGATCAAAGTATTTCAACACTGCACCTTTCATACGATAACATCTCTCAGAAGAAAGGCTCAGGTCAAAAGCTCTTGGAATTTTCCAGATCCTCAGGTGTATCCATTAGCATTGCCATAAACCAAAACAAGTAATTCCCCTAATGGTCAGCCTCTAATCCAACGAACCTCTACTTATACCGCAAACAGGAGTCAAGATTCAGAGACTAACTGATACATAAATCAAAGCAGACGCAAAAGAAGTCCTGACTCGGCAAACCAGATACACGAAAGGACGCACAGTCGATGCAAGTGACGAATTAGCCTGAAAGGGAACAAACACGACCTCAAGTGACGCGAAATACATGCCAGCCTTGGGGTCCTCCAGGTCTCTGTGAGAGACTTCCAGTTCCCGTTCCAGGTAAACAAGAAAGCAGGTAAAGCGATCTCCTCTAACGTTTCTGGAAACACCTTACCCAGCAGCCATCTCCGAGGTAACGGGAGCTCTTCGGGAGAAGTCGGTGTTCAGCAAACACAGAGCAAAGAGCCGGCGTGAGGACGGGCTGTCTCGGCGCCACACGGCGCGGCTCTCCAGGGCAGGGCCAGTCCCTGCCACAGGCTCCAGGCGCGGGTGTGCTCTGCTCCCCTCAGCACAGCCGGGCAGGCTGGGGGACGCGCAAGGGGAGCCTGAGGCATCCTGACTCTCCCGGATGAAGAATTTCTTAGGGAAGCAAGACGGTGTGGCTTTATTTCAGATCCCCATGGATTAAAAGAAACCCCAGTAACAATTACCTGACTCCTAAAAAATAGATTTGTGGAAAAGGGCTAAGCTACTCCCCAAACTGATCAGTGGTTCATGACCAATTTCTTGGTCCAAAGACTGACTCACTCAAGTAATCACCGTGCATCTTGGCTTGATATGGGTGAGAAAGGAAATAAAAATCTGTCCTCCCACCTAACCCTTTGCTTTCCTAATTCTCCAGTTGACGTCCGGGAGCGAGCAGGTGTGGGGAAGGCGAGGCACACGCAGGTGAGCACACGCGACTGGCCGGGTCGGGCGGAAGCACCCGCCTTCTCATTGGTCCTCCCACCTAACCCTTTGCTTTCCTAATTCTCCAGTTGACGTCCGGGAGCGAGCAGGTGCGGGGAAGGCGAGGCACACGCAGGCGTCAGTGAGCACACGCGACTGGCCGGGTCGGGCGGAAGCACCCGCCTTCTCATTGGTAACGTGTACACGCCTAGATCTTCCCAGGATGCCTGTGGCCCATTCTCACAGCTCAAAGAGGGCACTTATTCCATACACTTGAGGCCACAGAAGGGGTCCCACCTACCGCCCCGTGGCCTCAGAGGCCCGATCCCCCACACGGTCTACATTCCTTGTTGGACGTGAGCGCGCAGCTCCTGAAGGAGCTCTCCAGCCAGCTTTCGTGACCTCGGGGCTTCCAGGCCAAGGCAGTCCCATCTGTACAAGGTATGGTCAAGAAAGCCGACGATCTCGTGGGTCATCTCACCAGAGTGCGCCATCTGCAATAAGGACAGGGAGAAGGCAAGTTAACCCACTTTCCAGACAGGTATGTCTCTTTGGGCGGCGGGCTCATGGTCACTGTCCTGTCCAGCATTCCCACCAGCGCCTCAGTGACGCACCAAGGGCTCCTGTGTTGTTTTCTAGGTGATTAGTGAGACCAGTCCTCACAGGCTGGCTCCACAGTGAGCAGGGCCATCTCCTGCCACACTCCCCACATCGCATCCAGGGTCGGCTGCCAACGGCCTCGATTCTGCAGACAAGTGCTGCCCGGACAGAAGGGGTTCCAGAAGGGCCTTCACGAGCCTGGGGATTATTTGCGTGCGGAGTGAGGGTGAATGGACGTGCTCAGCCGCGTCTCTGCAAAGGCTCACACGCACATGAGAACAGGAAAGTGCCACCTGTTTTCACACAAACAGCCTCATATGTGGCATTCCTTGGCTAGCAAGCTGGGGCCACTTGTGTGAACACCGGATTCTTGCAGGGAAGCAGGCGTTGTCAGTTCTGCTGAATAAAGCCTCCAGACGTTCTCACTTGAGGTGCCCGCAAGTATTTTCCTAAGAACTTCAGCTGAGAAAAAAGTGCGGGGTGAGAATCTCACAAGTTAGCTGTGCGAAGAATTTACTGTGGTTTTTACACACATTTAGCAGCATTAAGAAGGCCTAAGTTTATGGAAAAGTAATGCACACATTCGTTCTGTGTGTGTCAGTTTACACGGAGTCACGTCACACACAGCTGTTCGTCGTGGCAGCCACAGTCCGCTTCCTCTTCATCTCCACGCTGGCCCTCTGGTAGGGTGGCAACCACCCTGGTTTTGGGGGGACCACCCGGGTTTTAGAACTTATAGTCCCACAGGCCAGGAACTGCCTCAGCCTGGGCCTCCTGCCCTCTGACCAGCAGCACAGGGAAAGACTGGCCCAGCGTGTGCTGCGTGCGTGGCAGTGTGCGACGTGGGGCCACCTCGCGATCGCTCTCCTCACCACCCACTGGAGAGAGCAGGGCTTGGAGGGTGCCCAGTCCAAAGCAAAACAGTCCTGCCGGGGCGGAGCTTCAGAGTGGCCTTCGGTGTGTCACTGTCGCTTGGCTTTTACTCAGAGACCACAGGCGCTCTGTCCTTCCTGGGGGAGCTATTGTGAGCCTCCCTTGGACGCCTTATAAGAGCCAGTTTACTGCCTAGACCCCTGGTTGGGAGAGACTTCCATGATCACAGGGGCTGCCCCGGGCTGAAGCAGGGCCGATGGTCACTCCCCTTGCCCCATGCCCTTCCATTCCATGGTCACACCTGCCCACTGTGGCTGCAGCCTGCACAGAGGGTTAAATTCATTTTGAGGCTGAGGACTACAGGACTGAGCTCTAGGTTTCAGATTCTTGCTCATGTAGTGCCATGTGCTGTGGTCCAGAGAGAGAAAAGCATGAATGTGGGGCAGGCAGGAGGCCTGCGGACACGATTGCTGCCCCGAGCACCTGTCACAGCATGGCAAGGGCAGCAGAGGCAGCAGGACACTGTGCAAAAGCCCAGGGCCTGAGGGCCACAAGCCACAACACTTGGCAGGCCACGGCCAGCAGAAGCGAATGCAGCAGTGCCTGAGGGAGCTGCCCACAGGTGCCACAAGATGGGAGCCCAGACTGGCCTGGGTTCAGAGTGAGGCCGCCCAGGAGAGGCAGGATGTGGCAGGACCTGAGGGTGGGTAGAGCCACAAGGGTTCGGCAGAGATGGTGGCCTATGCCCCTGGGGGCTACACTTTTCTTGTTCTCCAAGGCTGGGTGGCTGGAGGGAGGGCAGAGACCAGGCCCCAGACCCTGCAAGTCTACATTAAAGCTGCAGTGGGCTAGGGTCCTGAGGGTGGTGAAGGCTGGGCCACTGGAATAGAAAGGCTGTCCCACCAAACCACCACCTGGCCACCAACTGCTCCCAGGGCTAGCAGACCTGGCCCAGGGCTCATTCTGGGGTCCTCACAGCACAGAGAACAATGGTCATGGGAAAGGGCCAGGGCCATGCATGGTGGCCATACTGAGAGCCACTACCCTGGCCACTGTGCAAAGCTTCCTGCTGGGCAGTCTGAGGTGTTCATCGAGACTATTTCAAGTTGTCCAAAGGATAGCACGGGGAGACGCTTTTGTGCGCCAGGCTCTGAGGTGCCCTGGTGGCTAGCACCCAGCTGCCACAAAGCCAGCGCAGGAAAGCAGCACTGGCATGGCTCCTGCAGCGGGCTTCTCCTCCACCCTGCTGCCGCTGAGCTGAGGTGAAGGTGGACGAGGAAGCACTGGCGTGTCCACACGCCTGCGGTCGCGGGTCCAGGTCCACAGCACTAGTGCACGGCTGGGACTGAACTGCCGGTGGGAGTGGGTGTCTTCATCCCCCACACTGGCACTCCACACCCACTGAACACTAACTCCCCATCCCCCCTCTCCCAGCCCCTGCTAAACGATTCTACTTTTTCTGAGCTTGACTATTCCAGGTACCTCATGCGGGTGGAACCACACAATACTTATTTGTGCTTGTGTCTGGCTTATTTCACTTGGCATAATGTCTTCAAGGTCCATCCATGTTGTAGCATGTGCCAGAACATCCTTCCTGTTTAAGGCGAACGACATTCTGTTGTTGTACGTGCACACCACGTCCTGTCACCTATCCACTTGTTGATAAGCAGTCGGGTGGTTTCCACCCTCTGGCTGTTGTGAGTGGCGCTGCTGTGCACACCGGGTCCGAGTGTCTGTGCGACACTCGCTCCAGCTCCCGTGCATGTGGAACGCTAGGAGTGCAGTGCGTCACGTGGCAGTTCTATGTTTAACTTTTTGAGGAACCACTGAACTCTTCCCCAGCAGCTGCGTCATTTCAACATTCCCAACTAGAAATGTACAGGTGTTCCAGTTTCTTTACATCCTCACCAACGATTTCTTTTCCAAATTTTTAACAGGAGCCATCCTAATGGGTGTGAAGTGGTGCCTCACTGGGGTTTTGATTGGCCTTTCCCTGATGCCTCGTGATGCCAAGTACCTTTTCATGTGCTTATTGGCCGTTTGTACGTCTTCTTTGAAGAAATGTCTGTTCAAGTCCTTTACCCATTTTTAAATTGGATTATCTTTTTGTTGTTGAGTTATAAGAATTCTTTATAGATTCTGGATGCTAATCCCTTACCAGATATACACTATTCCCAAATATTTTCTCCCATTCTATGAATTGTCTTTTCACTTTCTTGGTGGTATCCTTTGATGCATTAAAGTTTTAATTTTCATAAAGTCCAGTGTATCTATTTTCTCTTCTGTTGCCTGTGTCTTTGTTGTCACATTCAAGAAGCCACTGCCAAATTGACTGTCATGTACTCACTTTTGACATGGACCCTTCTTTACTCCTCAGGTTGGCTGGGCTTTGGAAAAGATTTCTTTGTAATTCATCAAATTTTTAAAAATCAACAAACAAAATTCTTTGAATTGCTGCACTGAGCAGTTCTTTGGCTGCTTTATGAGTACACTGTCACTGAAGCCCCCCAACAAGGACAGCAGGACATGTAATTGAAAGCATCATGCACAGTGGGCCCTGGCAGAAGGCATGTGACCTCGGAGATGGCACCTCCTTCCTGCGACTCTCTTCTCCATGACATGGAAGTGCTGCAGGGGGCAGGCTCCAGGGTCCGCCCCAGCTGTCAGCCCCACTGACTGTTTATTCATGTTGGGGCAGCACGTGGCACACGTACTCTTCAAAGGCCAGGAGCCTCAGGTGTATAAACCCTCTTTTACCTGGAGTGTCACTGAGAACTGGGAGAGAGGGAGACTTACACAGGTGACAGCTTCCCGGGCGATTGTGTGGCCTCCAGGAGCCCAGAGCAGGAAGTGGAGGAGAAGGAGCCTGATGAGCTGGTGATGCACAGGCAGCCTGGGCTCTGCAGCTGTGTGCTCCCCAGCTGCCACCTGCAGGTCCCTGGACGAGAGGGTGGCACTTGTTAACAGCTTCCGGAGGCGGCTGAGCACAGCCCCCACCTCCACCTGGGGAGGAGATTGGAAAGAGATTAGGGAAGAGTCCAGACACACGTGCTTCCAGGATTTACTCAGTGCTGTGATGCCACCTCCAGTGCTGTGATGCCACCTCCAGAAACAGAAGAGAGACAGGGTGGCCTGTCTGAGGTCAAGCCAATCCACACAGCCCAAACAGTATAACGGAAACTTCTAGATTGACTTTGTTCTTGCTCACCAAGCAGCCAGGAACTGACCTTTTTTTGTATGAAAGGAAACAGACAATAGCGCTCAGCAGAATGTAGTCAGATTTTAATATTGTGGAAAAGAGAACAAAAGGCTCTGTGAAGACTCACTCCCTACCACAAACACGAATGAGCTGATGCCCCATCCGTGCAGTGGGACCTGTGTGAGCCCACCTCTGATGAGCGTGCAGGTCTGCCTACTGCCACCTGGGACATGCACACACAGACACATGCACGCACATGCACACATGCACAGACACATGCACACACACATGCACATGCACACAGATGCACGCACGCACACGTACACGCGCATACACACACAGACACATGCACGCATACACACACAGACACATGCACGCATACACACACAGACATGCACACACACGCACACACAGACACATGCATACACACATGCACACGCACACAGATGCACGCACACATGCACATGCACAGATGCACGTACGCACACGTACACACACATGCACATGCACACAGACACATGCACGCATGCACACACAGACACATACACACATGCACACGTACAGACACATGCACACACACATGCACACGCACGCAGATGCATGCACGCACACGTACATACATGCACATGCACACAGACACATGCATGCACGCACATGCACACACAGACACATGCACGCATGCACACACAGACACATACACACATGCACACGTACAG